TTTAAGTGGTTATTGTATTTTTTTTTGCAATTTTAATCCATAAATGTTTTAAAAAAATTAATTTAATTATTAATTGTTAATACATATTAATACCATTAATGAAAGTATTATATAGACGTTGAACTTATGAAAGTTTCACTAATGGTGTTAATGTGTATACTCTGAATTTATGAGATGACCATTGTCCAAGTTATTGTTTGCAATTGAAGTATACTTTTTTAAAAAAAATTTGTATTTTAATTTTTATGTCAGATACCAAAATTTAGTATTTTATTTTAAAATAGACTAGTTAAAATATTTTAAAATAGTACAAAGATTTAATTTAATATTCTATTTTTTTATCTTTAAAACATGTTTTCAAAACTATTTTAATTACCTCACGAACACGACAAGAGATAGTTAAAAATAAAAGATATAAAAAATATTAATGAATAAATAGAAATAACAATAGAAAAGTCAAATAAGAATATCTAATTATCCATCCAAATATCAACTCTGGTCAAGCAGATAAATAGAACAAAAATTTATATTGGTCAGATTATGTGAAGACTCAGAACTTTGGATAAAATAAAATTATAATTTAAATGCAAAAGTGTATAAAAACGTTAGGGTTTACATTCATTACACATATATTAGCATAACCAACAGGGTTACAGAAATGTCCATTTCACATCGGTTTATAAAATAAAAAACGTAATAACATATGAAAATAGTAAATAAATGTTGTAAGATATTTAACCTTCACTAACTTTTGATAGGATTCGGAGGAACACCTACTCACATCCCTCATGCTGATTAGGATCTAGATCTTGATCTGAAATGGTTAATAGGAGGGGTGAACTATATTACCCTAATAAGAATATCATACTACTCACCGATACAGGAATCAAATGCTGATAAAAATTATAAAAACAACTAATAGAGCTCTTAATTTAAGTAAATTCATTTGTCATAAGGAAAACCATTTATTACATATTTGCTATTGCGAGATTTCCAAAATCAACCTATAGAGACAATAACTCAAATAACATTATGATATCATATATGAGTGAACAAAAATAATAACTTTTCCTTTTTTATTTTGCTTACTGGTATCCTTGGGGGTTTACAGGGGTGTTCCATTACACATGAACCTAATATTTAAACTTGTTAACTAACCAGCCGTCTCCATATCTCATCTGGTATGAGCGCCAAAAATACCATCCCTCAATACCCCGTCCGGTATGAAGGTGAATCAGGCTGTCACCATACTCCGTCTGGCATGAATGCCAAAAATACTATCTCTCGGTACCCATTCCAGTATAAGGTAACGTTCATGGTAAGGTTCCATATGTACCTTATTCATCCACAATTTCTCAAGATATTCAATAAGACAGCCATATCCCAAGTTTTCATGACATTGATAATCGCGGCAAGTTCTAAGTTATAGATGTGGTAGTTTTTCTTATGACTTTTCAATTGTCTAGACTAATAGGTTATGACATTCTCATGCTGCATCAAAACATAATCCAACCTCAATTAAGAGGCATCACTATAAGTTGTATATCCACATGTCCCACTCGGCAAGGCCAATACCGTTGCAGTAGTCAACCGTTTCTTTAGTTATGAAAAACTTATTTCACAGTTCTCACTCCACTTAAACTTGATGTTCTTCTTTGTAACCTGAGTCAAATGAGTAGCTAGACTAAAAAATCCTTCTACAAACCTGTGGTAATAACCTGTCATTCACAAAAAGTTACGAATCTCTTTGACCGATGTCAATTTCTCCCAGCTAAATACTGGCTCAACTTTTTCGGGGTTCACTAGCACTTTATCCCTTAATGTGATGTGCCCTAAGAAGGTAGTCTATTCGAGGCAGAACCCAAACTTACTCAACTTTGCATATAACTTTTTTTCTTTGAGAACTTGTAAAACTTGAGTCAGATGGTGAACGTGTTCCTTTATGCTTTTTGAATAGACTATGATATCATCAATAAATATAAAGACGAATTTATTCAAGAATTATCTGAAAACCTTGTTCATCAAATTCATAAAGATAGTTGGTGCGTTGGTTAGTCCAAATAACATAATCAGGAACTCAAAGTGTTCGTACCTAGTTTGAAAAATTGTTTTACGAATGTCTTCTACCCTGATTTTTACTTGATAGTAACTTGAATGCATATCTATTTTGGAGAAGACTTGGGCACCCTACAATTGATCAAAAAGGTCATTGATCTTGGAGAGGGAGTACTTATTTTTTATTGTGCCCATGTTCAATCCCTTATAGTCAATGCATAACCTATCTCAACCCATTTCCTTACAAATGTGACTCCAGCACCCCAAGGAGACACACTATATCAGATGAATCCATTATCCTACAATTCATTGATCTATTTCCTCAGCTCTTTCATCTCAACACGACTAATATGGTAAGAAAAAATCGAGATAGACTGGGTATCTGGATGAAGATCTATAGTAAATTCAACTTCTCTACCAATTGGCAGTCTGAGTAGTTCATCAAAAAACACATTTGAAAAGTCTTGAACTACCGGAATATCTCGAATGTAAATTTCTTTCTTAGGTTTGCCTAGTTAGAGAAAACAACCGAGTTAAAACACTTTGTAATAAAAAAATTATCATAAGGGAATAATATTTAAAAATTTTATTAATTTATAAATGACTCTTCATTAAGAGAATTGAATACAAGCTTCTTGTGAAAATAATTTACGATGGCGTGATACGCCTCTAGCTAGTTCATTAATAGAATTACATCAAAGTCCCCCGTGTCAATCTCTATTAGGTCCACACTCAATTTTCTATTTGCTATATTTATAATACAAGCTCTGTATATAACATCCTCTAATAGTATCCTACTCCCGGGAGTAGACATAAACAACACAGAATCAAGTCTTTCACGTAATACATTCAAGTTTGGTGTAAAAGCATATGAGACAAATGAATGTGAGGCATCGGTATCAATCAAAATATGTACAAGATGATTACAGATAGTGTATGTACCTTGTATCACGTCTGTGTTGGCTTCTGCATCTTACTAAGTGAGGTTGTAAAATCTGCCCTAGATAAGAGGTCTGGCTTGGTTCTAATTTCTCGGGTACTCTCTCGTGTAGTGCTTGACACTCCCACATATACGGCAGGTATTGTTGAGGTGATAGCAGGATTGGTCTCCATGATCCTTACAACAGTGCTGACAAGTCCTACCGCGTCCTATTACCGGAATCTAGTGAGGAACCTGAGTTAATGACCTAGGTCTCTTGTTCTGCTGAACAGGTACAGTGGGGGCTGATCTGCAGTGTGAAATCGGGAGCCTGAGGTTCTTCACTACTAGAGGAAAAATGCGAAGGTTCTTCTCTACTAACTGTGCTTTGGCCAGAGCGATTGAGTAAGTACTGAGTTTGAACTATTGTTTAATCTCATGACAAAGACCCCACTCAAACTTTCTTACATTTATGCCTTCATCCAGCGACTGAGTAAGTACTGAGTTTGAACTATTGTTTAATCTCATGACAAAGACCCCACTCGAACTTTCTTACCTTTATGCCTTCATCCATCATGCTTTCAGGGGAATACTAATCCAACTCTAGGAACTTTCGGGTATATTCTGATACAATCATATCACCCTAGATTAGGTGTGCAAACTTCATTTCTTTCAGATGTCGGAGATACTTTGGGAAGTACTATGCATTGAAGACCATCAGAAACTATTCTCAAGTAACTGGAATGAGCAAGGTGGCTTGCTTGAGCTGCCACAAGCGATCTGTCTCTCCCACCAAGATGTAGGTGGCAAGTATAACTCTCTATTCAGGAATCATCCCAAGAGTCATAAAAACCTTCTCTATCTCAGCTAACCAGTATTCAACATCTTCAAAGGAGGATGTCCCTGCAAAAGTAGATGAGTTTAGTCTTTTGTATCTCTCAATATAATATGGGTCGTTCATTGCATTTGATCGTGCCTAAGGAGGAAATAAATCTGAGCCGTTCATCACGTTTGATCTCGATCGCCCGATCGTGTCTAAGGAAAAAACAGATCCGAACCGTCCATGCGTGCATGATCGCTTTTAGGTCGTCTGATTTTGAGGCACGCGAATCGCCAGTGTGGCCTCCCGTGTGGCACCAAGTCAGCGTGTCTTGTCACACGGCGTGCTCTGATTCATCGAGACTACTGACTGCGCAATCCTACGTGGCCAAATTTTTTTTATTTCTATTTTTTGACTTTCAGTTTTCCATTTTTCTTTCAAAAACACAATACAAACCCAATTTTTTACTATTTTTTCTCAAAATTGTTTTCAATTTCATCCATAACTTATTTTTTTTTTCAAAATTTCACATTAAATTAAAATGTATTAATTTTAAAAACAAATTTTTTATTCATTTTGAAATGTTAAAATTAATCTCGAACTAAATTCTGGACCCAAATATTGCAGATTAGGAGAATTACAAATTTCTTACTAAACATTTGAAGCGTAACTGATGTTATAAGTTTTAAATATATTATTAAAATAGTTATTCACTAAAAATATTTTTAACCAAAAGCCATATAATATTTATTTAAAATAGTTCCTAAAAGTTCTATCATTGAAAAAAAGAACATAAACTGTATATTAAATGAAAACCACTTTTGAAATTTTGAGTTAAATTTTTAATCAAAGTCAAAATATTTCTTAAAAAATTACATATCATAACTTTTAAATTTAAATATATTAAAAACATAATTTAACTTTGATTTTTGCTAAAATCACTTCAAATTTTACATAACTTATGTTAATCCTCTATACAAATTAATTATTACTGTTATTATTAATTATATATTGACAATATATTTTGTAATTTTTTGTTCTTAAATTTTGTATGTAATTTATTTAAAATTAATTCATTGGTACCAAGGAGATTCAACCATGAAGAAGGAAATGACAACAAGAAATAAGAGCAATCTTTTCTTTTTCTGTTCTATTCTTATTTCATCTTGTTATTTACAGTTTATTTTTAGAAAACCAATTAAGATTTTCACTTGCAGAAGGAGAGCAATATTTAAAGATTATCTATTTATTTTTTCCCTCTCTCAAATCTCAACGACATCATCTGCAGATTCACATACAAAAACGAGAAGCACCTCCTTTTCTCCGTTGACAAAGCAAAACTAAGCTCCCAAACAAGCATGCTGATCCTCCTTTTCTTGGTGACGACACTGCTAAACTTTCAATCCAGCGTCCTTGCTGCTACTAAATTTAGCAGAAATGACTTCCCTTCTGGCTTCATTTTTGGTTCTGGCACTTCTGCTTACCAGGTCAGTTTAATGTCTCTCTCTCTCTCTCCCTCTCTCTTGAATACGTTCTCTTTGTTCTCGATGTCAGATATTGATTCTTTCTGGTTCTGGTGCATGTGTTATGATTTTTCTTTTGAAGTTATGAGATTTTTAGGTGGGGATTGAAAGGGTATTATTTTTCTGGGTTAAAAACTCATTATTTGGAGTTAGATTATCGGGGTTGCCCTAATAAGAAGATAGAGATGAAAGAATACTTTGGAATAGGAGGTAGAAGATGAAGAAATCTCTAAGGTATTGATGATTATTTATGGTGCTTATGATATACTGAAGGTGGAAGGTGCAGCTAATGAAGATGGGAGGAGTCCTAGCATTTGGGATACATTTGCTCACGCTGGTAAGTTCCCTCTTTACTCACATCTGCCTTTGACTTTTTTTTTTTTCTTTTTGGTAGATATAAATTGTAAATCTCTGATAACAATTGAAACTTTTCTTGAGGCCTTCAGTTTGTGGTTTTAGTTAATGTAACAGTGAAAAGTCACTTGTATGCTGAAAATCACATGCAGCGATCAAGATTTGAAATGAAAGTCCCAACTAGGTGAAGAGGATTAAGAGAAAGAGATAGATAAATAGATTTATCTCTCCATATATGTAACTTATAAGCTTGATCGCTTCTTATGGACCGGTGAAAAACAAAGAAACCTCTTTGGTTGCCATTTTGATCAGTTCAGCCAAAAAACTTCAGTGTATTCCAGTATATTTGTTCAGATTTTGCTGAAACAAACACATACTTATAATGGTGTATGATTGATCTAATCTTCTTGAGCTCGAAATTTCAGGATATGGACATGGAGGAACCGGAGATGTAGCCTGTGATGAATATCACAAATACAAAGTAAGCACAGGGTGATATTGTCAGTGATTAGTTTTGAAAATTGGCTTATTAAGCTAAATTCATGTGGGACTATCTTGAAAATGTGATTACATCATATCTCGTATGAGTTGGTTCATCTCTATTTTGCTTTATATGTTTTTACAGGAAGATGTACGACTCATGGCGGGAATAGGCTTAGATGCATATAGGTTTTCAATCTCCTGGTCAAGGCTTATACCAAGTATATATGCTTGTCAATTTCTGATTTGCGTCAACTTGACATGTGTGAAAAAACTCAGCAGGTTATGTTCTTTCGTTGATACTATATTCTTTATTCTTTCTTTCAGATGGAAGAGGGTATGTTAATCCAAAGGGTTTGGAGTACTACAACAACCTTATCAACGAATTGATCAGTCATGGTAAGATTCTGAATTTCCCTTGTGACTGGGAGTTTATTTATCAGAAAGTCAGGTGAAAATACTATTTGATTCTTCGTCGTTAAAACTTATCTTGTCCCAAGCAGGAGTTCAACCACATGTTTCATTGTATCACTATGATCTTCCACAGGTTCTTGAAGATGAATATGGAGGTTGGCTTAATCGAACTATCGTGTATGACTGTTACTCTTATGTCAATTCACTTTGCCTCTCTCTATACTTGCTATATGCTTTCTTGGGCACAAAAGAAAAATAATGAAAGTGACTAAAATCCCCTATATATGAGAATGCAGGAAAGACTTCACAGCTTATGCTGATGTCTGCTTTCAAGAATTTGGAGACAGGGTTTTGTATTGGACTACTCTGAGCGAACCTAATGCCTTTGCTCTTGAAGGTTACGATGAAGGAGTTTGTCCACCCAGGAGATGCTCACCCCCCTTCGGGACCAATTGCTCTGGGGGAAACTCTTCATCTGAGCCATACATTGTAGCTCATAATATGTTGTTAGCACATGCTTCAGCTGCAAGGCTGTATGAGAAACAATACAAGGTAGTTTCTAAACCTTATGTACATATCTACATATATATATACTTGAATCTAGCAAAAGGGTTTGGCTCCCATGTTCTTGTAGAGAAGTTATATCTCCAAAACTCTTGAAATGATGAAGCCTGGTTGCCTATCTCCACTTCATCGATCCTAATTTTGTGCTGTTCTGATTCACAAACTAGTGAAGAGACATATTATATAAGTTCAGGAAATAAATATGGAGCTCTCCATGATTGTAGGATCAACAAATATTATTTATTCATGCAGGCCAAGCAACAAGGATTTGTAGGTATTAGCGTATTCACATATGGAGTTTCTCCATTAACAGATTCAAAAGAGGACAAAATCGCAGCTGAAAGAGTTCTTGACTTCTCCATTGGTTGGTAAGTTGAAACTAAGATTCTGTTTTGTCTAATTCCTATTCAGTTCATATCCTACTTAATTACACTACAGCGGTCGTAAAATGTTGAATTGGATCATAATTTTCATATTTGAATCAATCTTGCTCTTATATAACCTTATAAATTCTTTGGAGATGGATTTCTACTTCCTACTTGATTAAATAAGAACTAAAATTTAATTTAAGCTAGGTGTATGCCCCCATTGATTTCAGGATTTTACATCCCTTGTTTTTTGGTGATTATCCTGACATAATGAAGAAAATTGTGGGCTCAAGAATGCCGGCTTTCAACCATACTGAATCCGAACATGTTAAGGGCTCCTGTGATTTCATCGGAGTTATACATTACACCACAATGAAGATCAAAGACAAATCCAGCAGTTTGGAACTGAAAGAAAGAGATTTCTATGCAGACATGGCTGCAGAACTTATAGGTTTGTTTTATAACATGTCTTGATTCAGCTCTTGTGAAGCATGCCAAGCTTACTGATTTCTTTTCTTTCCAGTGATTTTAAGATAATAGGTCTATGCCAGAATCAAATAATCTTTTACATTTCTTATTAAATCTGAAGAAAGAAAGTGTAACTAATCTGGTCCTACAAACTTGTGGCAGGAAATAATGATCCTTCATCTGGTAAGGTGAGAAATAAGTACTTGAATATCCTTATAGGGTTCTTCTATATAATAAAACATATTCCTCTTGGGTTTTCCTCTTTTGGGTTTTCTTCCTTACAAATGGCTTTCTCTTATCAGTTCCCTTCCATGCCTTGGGGCCTTGAAGCACTTCTGGAGTACTTTAAGCAAACTTATGGCAACCCCACTATTTACATTGTTGAAAATGGTCGGATCTCTCTCTCTATCTCTCTCCCACTGCATCTGATCTTTTTTTACCTTTCTGATTATTTGCTCACTTGGGCTGGTAGTTTTGGCAGGTCAAGTAACATTGCGAAATTCATCTTTGGAAGATACTACGAGGGTCGAGTATTTGCATGCATATATTGGGGCTGTGCTTGATGCTGTTAGGTATGCCTTTGAAGGATTTCTTTTCTTCACTATAAACTCTTACAGAACAAGTTTTTCTTTTCTTTTCTTTCAAACTTCCAAACGATACCCTTCTCAACATTTGCTTTGAACATTGAAAAAATTGAATCTTTACATTCATAGTGGGTTACCCTTCTCAACATTTGCTTTGAACATATGAAAGCCCGAATCTTTACATTCATAATGGGTTATATTACATTATGTAATTGTGTTTCATGTGTTAAAACAGGAATGGATCAAACACAAAAGGGTACTTTTCGTGGTCCTTCTTGGATTTATACGAGTTGTTGAGTGGTTATCAAGCAAGCTACGGATTATTCTATGTTGATTTCAAGGATCCTGATTTGAAGAGATACCCTAGACTCTCTGCATACTGGTATTCCCATTTGCTCAAAGGAACAACTGTTACTGCTAATGGATTCTCTCAGCTTCCAGATAACTCCTCAAGCTCGCTCTCATGGTTTTAGCTTACTACTGTAAGGCTGTGTTTGGTTGTTCATACGGGTTAACTTGGAACTTGACTGTCACTGCTTCTGAATTTTTTGTATAGCATTTGACAGGACAAGTATGTTAATCTTCTGAAATTAGAAAAATCTTCTTTGCAGAATTTGAGATTGTGGGAGCAGTCTCCTTTGCACCTTCAAGCCATATACACATTATTTACAAACTGCAATCCCAAAAAGAACACGTAAAAAGAAAAAATTTATATAAACTTTATTTAAATATGTAAACTCGTTTTCTTGAGTGAAAAAAAAAAATATATATATATATATATATGTACTAATTTTTCGATATAATGACTAAAATAGTGACTATAAGATAAGTGATAAAATATAATTTTTTAATATTTTTGTATTATTTAAAAATTAAAAATTTAAATATCAATAAAAATATAAAATTTATCATTTTGTAGATATATCATGAGACGATTATGGTCGATTTATAATATTTAATTTAAAAATAATAAAAATTTATTATATATTAATAAAAATACAACGATTAAATTAAAATTAATTTTAATAAATTATAAAATATTTGAATGAAATAAATATTTTATAATTATTAAAATTTTTTAATTAATGTAGTCATCATGATAACATAAAAATTTAATATAATATATATTTTCAAATAATAATAATAATAATAAAATATAGTTTTGGGCATGAGTGGCCCAAAAAACATCCATTAAAATTGTCCAGGCCAAAAATTTTGAACCGTAACCAAATTTATTTCCAAAAATAAATGTTTATCATATTTTTTTTTTAAAAAACATGTAGTTAAATAAACATATCATTAAAAATAAATATTTTTATTTTAATTAATACCAAATAATTTGAAGGGAATGTGTACTCCTAAGAAATAGTGTTAAATTTACCAAATTAAATAAAAAAATAAATAAATATCGAGATAATCAAATTTCATCCTATCGAGAATACGAAAATTCAATATAAATGAATATTCTTCGAAAAATCAGAATAAATTAGAACGTACAATTAAAAGAATAATATCAGGTGTTTTTTTTAATAAATATTTTAAAATTATATAAAAAAAATATATTAAATTAGTATATGATAGAACTGTAATTATTAAATTAAATTTAATTTTAATAAATTTATTATATTTTTATATTAAAAAATTAATGTAATTTATTATAGTATTTTTAATGTAAATATTATTATATGTCATTATTAATAAAATTAATTTGTACGGACTGTGTGATTCATGAGGCAAGCGAGCGAGTGTGGTTGGAAATTAGCCAAGACTGTACGGACCAATACCAATTAATGGATATTAATGACTCCCAAATCATTCATTTAAATTTTATTACTTTAATTAATTATTATTATTATTATTTAAGGCCAGAGCTGTATAAGCACTGTATAAGATTTATATCTACCACCTAGTCCGTTTCCTCATAAGTAGATATATATATATAGATATTGACATATGTATAGGTGTATGTAATTAATTATAATTATTTCAATTAAAAAAATTTAACAACAATAAAATTTGCTAAATTTTTATTAAAAAATATGATGTTTAAATTTTTATAATTTAAAACATTTGTATTTTATTAAAAAAAATAATTAAAACAATCATAAATAAAATAAAAATATAACAGTGTGTTTACATTTTTACGGGTAAATAAGATTAATTATTATTATAAAAAAATAGATATTTAAATGCGTGCTCTAATTTTAAAAGGTCACGACATTACATGTGGGTAATGGGTGCTCAATTGGCTGCTTGTCTTTATGTATGAACACACACATATATATATATATGTATATATATATATGTATGTATGTATATACATATTGTTTTTTAGTGCTTGATTTCACAACACACTTTGTTGGAAGACTGCTTTGCATGTATATTATTGGAGGGGTTGGTGAGACACCTAATAAGATTTTTTTTTTCTTTTTAAAAAAATAAAAGTTGACAATAAAATATTAATATATTATATATAATTAATTAATTAATTAATTCAAATGGGTAAAATCAGATTCTAATTATTTTTTTTATTTTATTTTACGAAATTAACTAAATTGAATATATTAATTAGTAGATTAATCAATTTAATTAGATGAAAATAAGGTGAAATTCTCTTAATTCCTTCACCTACCCGACCCGTCACCCACCGACCCACCCAGCCCGAGAAAGCCGAAGTGCATGCGGTTGGTGGTGAGCGTGACTAGTCTACTCTTCACAAAACCCTTTATTTTTAATTTAGGATTTGAATAAATCAACAAAATATTCATTTCTTATATACTTGTCCTACATATATATGTATACATGTATATATGCCTGTAAAATATATATTAAATTTTGCTCGGTCAAAATTCCTCAATATTAAGCAACATTACCTAACTCTCTCTCTCTCTCTCTCTCTCTCTATATATATATATATAATATTTGAAGGTTAGGTTAAAAATCTATATAGTTATGGTAATTCTCATGATAAACCAACATGATAATTTTTAAATACTTATATATGTATATATATATATGTGTGTGTATGTATAATATTAATTTTCAGAGTCAAATTATATGATGTGAATTAACCCACTCAAAGACTTTAATTGGACACCAAGTCAAATTCTTGTTAATTAAAAAATATTAATTATATAGGAAGTTTCCTCTTGGATAATTTGTAATCTCAACATGAGAAATATGTAATATATATATATATATATATATATGGACTAAGACCCATTAGCAACATGACCATAAAAAATATATTGGGATTTCATTTCATCAAATTCAAAAATGTGCTTAATTTTATTTTTTTTAAATTAAATTTGGTTTTAATTCATTCAAATAAGGTTATTATTATTTAAAAAACTGTTAAAAATAAACCTTTTTATTAGTATAAGTCCAAAAATTAAAATATGCAATCGAATATATAAACTCAAAAAAATAATAATATAATAATTCATTAATTAAAATTTATGTATTCTACTTGAAATTATAAGTTCGAATTTCACTAAATATTTAAAACTCATTATTTCACAATTTTTTTATAAATTAATAGTGATTAATTTATAATATTTAATTTAGTATAATTAAAAAATTTATTTTATTAATATGTTAATGTAACTGCACTGATTAAGTTGAATTAAATTTTAATAATTTTATTATATTTTTAAGTAAAATATAATTTTATAACGGTTATATTAATTTAATTGAATTAGACACATGTCGAAAAAAAAAAAAGAATTATACTAAAAAAATAAGAATTCATTAAAATGTAAGTAGTAAAAATAAAAAAGGTTGGAAGTAATTGATGGACCGACCGGCCGGCCGGACTTTTTGGACACGGAATCTTACCAACTACATGAAGAAAGTTATTAATTATTATTTAATTAAAACCAGCAATAAATAATTAGTAAAATTAAGAACAAAAAAAAAAAAAAAAATTTATTACATGCAAACACTCACACGTAGGATAATTATGATGGTAATTGTGGTAATTATAAATTAAACAAATTTTTATTATCTATAAAGCTGTTCACATGTAATGATATGCATTGTGGAAGAGTAGTTAGTGGG